AGAGGGGATGTGTCCGCATTACTTTGGGCTTTTGGCCCAGGTGACCCAGGAATCAGCCTGCCGCTTACTCACCTCACCCCCAACATTACAGGTGTTGACTGGCCTCCACTCCACGGAAAGCTGGGCACAGGGCCCACTTGTGCGCGCCCACGGAGTGCCCAGTCTCTGCTCTGCCCTCCCCCCCTTCCCCTCCACGTAGGCTTGGGGTGACAGTGGAGGAAACTAGAGGCGCGATCAAAAGGTTGTTGTCCTTGGCAGCTTTGGAAGAGGGAGGCAGGCAGTGGACACTTCCCCCACTTCCCTAGGTAGGCCCGGCGGGTTAGAGTGGGGGGCCGAGGCCTCGCAAGCCCCACCCGCTTTGTACTTTGGGTTCAGGTGATGGTGGAGAAAACTAGAAGTGGGAGGTGATGAGGGCTCAGCCGTGACCCGGCCAAGGGGGCGTTCCCCGGCCGCGGCTGCCCCGCCCCGCCCCGCCCCGCCTCCCGGGTGCCTCCGCAGTAGCTTGCTGCACGCTGGCCGCCTCCTGCCACTGCGGCAGCTCGGGTCGCCTTCCTCGGATCATCCGCGCACAGGTGAGGACAGCGGACCTGGCTCTCGAGCCGCCAAGGAAGGCTCGGGAACCTTCGTGAGGCTGAGAGCTGGAAAGGAAGGAAACGTAATCGGATTCCGCAGAGGTCCGGAAGGGGGGATCGATGGACGCGAGCCCCAAATCCTCGGGCGGCGGGGAGGTGTTGCCTACCATGCCCTGAGAGGGGAACGTGTCTTTACCCAGCGCCTCTGCGGGTCCGGAGATGCATTGGGTGCTGAGCTGCCTGTGGCTGCGTGGAGACTGGGGCCTCCCGAATCCTGGGGCGCTGGTTCCTGGGGGGGCCCCGACACCCCCTAGTAATTGTTTCCAGCCAGCAGCTAAAGATACCCCTCTGGGTCTTGAAAAGGGGGCCCCAGGCTCGCGGGCCACGACCACACACCGAAACCTTGCTTGCTGCTGTGCTTTGAAGCAAAGCCCTGCCTCAGCCCTTTCGTGCCTGTTAATAACAGGTGCAAGATTTGTTCTGCCCCGTGGTATTGCGGACAGGTGGGAAAGTATGCAGGGAAAGAGAGACTTATTTCTGATTTTTTTTTTCAGTTTAAAATTTCAGCAAACCCGTTCTTTGCCTTGTATTTGAGGAGGTGAGGAGGTGACACTAGAATTTAAGCCCCAGCTTTTGAGTCTATCACTGAAGTTCTACTAGGCTCACCTCCCCCTACCCCCCACCCCCTGCCCCGTGAGGTATCGATTTGTTAGAAGTGGGTTTGTGTTTTAACAGTGTGCAAGTTTTTTGAACACAGGTCAGGGACCATGGGCTAGTTGTCATTCTGTGTTCTTTCACCTGCAGCAGGAAGGAAAGATGTTCACTGTGCTGACCCGTCAACCTTGTGAGCAAGCAGGTGAGTGTCTCAGCAGGTGGCCAGCGTGATTTTGTCTAATGATGTGAGAATCCCAGCTCCACTCCAGTGTCTGATCCGTGTCCCCTGCCAATGACCGTTTAACCTCTTTGGTTTGAGACCCAGTTGCTCACCGCACATTCACCACAGGCATTCCCTCAGATAAAAGTAATGCTTTTCATCAAAGCTATGCTAAACAAGGACTAACTTGTATGTTTCACTTAAACGGTTTTTCCGGTTTGCATAATCCATGAATTTGGCCCATGTGGTTTCCCTTACCCAGCTGTGTCTAGAGTTTGCTTTACAATATTGTTGATTCTGTGATGAACTTTTAAAGTACTGTGCTTGGATCTTTCCTCTATTTCCATCCAAGTGTTGTTGCTGGCACAGCACCTGCAGCATCCCCCACTCCCCACCATGGGCCAGCCTTGTTACTGCTGATACTGCAGGCGCATGTACAGAATTCTCTCTCTCTCTCNAGGCGCATGTACAGAATTCTCTCTCTCTCTCACACACACACACACACACACACACACACACACACACACACACACACTTCCAAGCTTGCCCCGTCTGCCTGCTTCTGGAGCACATTTTGCAGTTGCTCAAGTGGAAGCCCAGAAGGTTCTGGCCCCTCCGCTCTCAGGTAGGCACTTTGTAATTATAGTGTTTGTCCAACCAGTGACAGCACAGCTGTAGGCGAGTCCCCTAAATGAATGAGTCCTGGTCTAATCCATTTTGCTTTGTGATAGGCTTTTCTGCTGGGTCAAGAGGTTTGCTTAAGGTAATCATAGCTTTTTACCTAAAAACTGCTGAAGCATGGCTGTGGAGGACTTAAGAGGCCAGCTGCATGGCTGCGGCCAGGAGGCTGCTTACATATCAGATGTTTTTAGCTGTGCCCCTAAATTGGGTATTCTTATCTTCCAAAGAATATGATTTTTAGGGGGTGATTTATACAAATCTTTTTTTTCTAAAGGAAAGTTGTACCTAAGGAGCTTTGATTTGATTTCCAGGCTTTTCCCAAAACACTTTAAAATTTTAACACATAAATTGTAACATCATACATACAAACTTGTTACGTTCCTTTTAACTTGGCAGATCAAGTCTGTGCTATGTCTTGCTGGGGGTGGGGTGGGGGGGGAGAATCCCTTAAACTGACAGTAACATGTGGATTCTTTAAAATTTGATAACAAAAGTTTGCTCCTGTGAATAAATTGCTTCCTGGCTGGCTCGTGTACTTTTATTGGGGATCACAGAAGAGTTATCTAGAACCCCTACAGAGGCTCTGAAGGTCAACTTCACGGTGATTATCCTCCTTCCAGTTGCTCTCACAAACGATGCTGCGATGAGTAGCTTTGTGTGTATCATTTTACACACGTGGGACTAGCTCTGTGGAATAAATTCCCAGAAGTAGGATTGTAAGTCAGACGATATACGTACACATTCGCAACTATTGTCAATCAATATTGACAAATTGCCCTCCGTTGATGCTATGTCAGTTTACAAATCCCAGTGACAAGGTAGGAAAATTAAGTTGTTCAGTGACCGCTTTTGACATCAGCACATGCCTGTGGCAGCATCTGTACTGCAGAGGGATCAGATAGGACAGAAAAAGTTGGTGATTCTGAGCCACTGAGATGAACTGCATGACTGGCTGCCCCGAAGAGTGAGTATTGAGATGGGATTGGATACCGGGGTTGAATCTAGTTCTGTCATGGTGGTATACACATGCCCTTTTCTCCTTCCAGGAAAATGTCTCCTGAAAGTAGCGAAGGAGTAAAGCATAGGTTATGATGATCTAAGAGTAAAGGTTCTGGAATAGGACAGGATCTACCCCATTTCTGTTCAATAGAACTTTCTGCAATGATGGACATGTTCTATCGCTGCCCTGTCCAATATGGTAGCCACTAGCCACGTGTGGTGATTGAACATTTGACATGTGGATAGTGAGACTGAGGGATTGAGTTTTTAATTTTATTTAATTTTGATTAATTTATATTTAAATACCCTATGGTGAGAGATATACTGGGATTCTCTGAATCCAGTGACCTTTCTGTTATGCTAGCGTTCATCGTATTTCAGCCATTTTGTGTCACCATTTATATGTATGCCATTATAGTCCTACCAAGACTATTATATAGTCAAATTTTAATTGACTGTCTTTTTATCTTTTTTTTAAAAATTAGGGATAATTTATACACAGTGAAATGGCTAGATCTTAAGTGGTGCACCTAAGCTGGGTATTCTTGCTTTCCAAAAGGATATGTTTTTAGGATAGGGGCAATTTATTAGAATCTTTTCTTTTTTTTTTTTTTTCAAGTGAAATCATACCTAAGGAACTGATTTACTTTGGTTTTCAGGTTTTTTCCCCTAAGGTCTTGGAAAGGTTTGATGAATTTTAACAAATGCATACACCCATATAACCCACAATCCTATTAAGATATAGAGTGTTTCCATTACCCCAGAAAGTGCCCAGGCATTCCTTGAATCCCTGTTCCCAACCGTGGCGCCATCACTGTTCAGACTTCTGTCACCTGCTGTTTTACTATTTCCTGTAAATGGAATCATTTCAATATAATGCCGTACTAGTTTCTTTCTTTTTAAAAATCTATTTGCTACTTCATCTACAAAATTTTCATTAGCCCACACTGGTATCTTAAGACTCAAGTAAAGGTCTGCCTGTAATCATTTAGTTAAGCAATGTTAGTTTAAATTTAATAAATAGACATACTTTATTTTTATATATTATGTATTATGTAATAAATAATGTAATTATAGATAATATAATTATCTCTACTCAGGTTATATATTTAGTTTAAGATTATTCATGTGCTTTGTTTTATTTTTTGCTTTTAAATGGGTAACTATAGTTTACATGTTATGATGAACATACAAATGCCGGAGATCACATGACCCATTTGGGAGGAAACACGTGGAGTGGGGTTTAGTTAGCCTTCGTCTGTGAAGATGTAGGTGAGACCTTATGCCTTCACTGTAGACACAGGAAAAATGACTGAGAGTGAGTTCTTATTGGGAATCCAAATGGTTTAGAAATTCAGACATGTCACCATTGGTTTGACAATAAATCACCATGTACTGAACTTTGAAGTAAACCGTAAAGATTCTAGCCAGGAGACACCTACAAAAAAATACACTAGTTAATTAAAAAAAATAAAGCCAATCATTGATTATATCTGAATTACAGTATTAACTTTTTATTTTATCTGAGATTATTTTTAAATAAAATATTATATTACCTGCTTTATTTTTTTTTGCTATAATCACCCCATATTTTCCGAATTTACATTGAAACACATGTTACTGTAAATCATCTCAGAGACAAGCGGTAATATGTGTAACACACTTTGGAAAATACCAGGAAGCTAAACCATGCATACCTTCCTGTAAATACTATTTTAATCCACTCTTTGGAAGAAAGATAAATGGGTGTTGGAGCCCAGGTGCTGCTCTGCCTTGAACTGTGTGGATCTCACTAAAGTCTCAGAGGAAGTGACTCATGCACAACAGTCATGCGCTCAGCCCATGGATTCAAAAAAGAAGGCCCGTGCTTTGTTCCTAATTTCCTCTCATGTATCTTCTGGGTCTTCCCATCTTAGGCCTCAAGGCCCTCTCTCGAACGCCAGCCATCATCGCCTTGGTGGTCTTGCTTCTGAGCGTTGTGGTGCTCGTGGCCATCACACTCATCCAGATTCACCAGAAAGAGGTCCTTCTACCTGGGCTGAAGGTAAGTGTGAGGGACTGGCATTGAAGGGAAGGAATGGGCTATATGACAGGGGTCGGCACACTGCGGCTCGTGAGCCACATGCGGCTCTTTGGAGGCGGCTGGCGAGCTGTAGTTTGCCGACCCCTGGGGCTATGATATCAATTATCCTAAAGCCACGAGTTAGAAGACTAGAAAAACCCTTTCCCCTGCATCCAGCCGGAGTCAGGAAGGGTGGTATAAGACCCAAAGGCGAATCTGGACATGCCAGGTCTGTGGTATTTGAGGCTACAGATTGATAGTGGCGATACCTTCTCCAAGGACTGTGTGCTCCTGCTTTGACTCCCGACTGTTGGAATCAAAGCTAGACTTTGTAGCCCATAATTACAGATGGCTACCAAAGATTTAGCAGTTTGTCTGTTCCCCCAGAGCACACAACGCTGATCATGAATGGAGATCAAGAGACCCAGGCTCCTTTTAGGGCCTAGCCTGGGTGAACAAAAGAACAAGGACTTGAAAAGATCTCCTTCAGCTATATTTGTGCTACTTCTGTTGGGGCTAGAAATGAGCCAAGATCCCCCTGACTTCCCCCCACCTCGCCCCTCCCCGCCAATTACTCAGGACTTTATGTTCAGTTCCAGAGCCCTCTCTCAGCCCTTGATAAGTCCATCCCCAAATGGCCCCTTTGGCGATCTCTGGTAAGATGAGAATCATATATATCACCCCAGTCTTGGCTGTAAGGATGACGGGAGGTGGTCCCACGACGGACTGTCACATGAAAGGTGAAGAGAGAGTCAGTGAGTCCTTCAATCATTTTGGGTGAGGTCAGCAAACTTTTTCTGTAAAGGGCCAAATAGTACATAGTTTAGGCTTTGAGGGCCATTTATAGTCTCTGTTGCACATAGCTTCTTTTGTTTTTGTTTTTGTCTTCTGACTCTTCAAAAATGTAAAAACCTTTCTTAGCTGGAGAGCCATAGGGGCCAAGCAATTGAACTAGGTTGTTTGAATCCCACTTAGCATTTACACTTGACTTCAGGAGTCCTATCTACATCTTCCTGTTCTCCGTGACTGTGTAACGGCTGTATTTGAAATAGAAGTTTTTCAAAGATAAGAGACTACTATTGCCTTGGCTCTGTGGCTACGTTTGACCTACCATCCTGAGACCACTTTTCTGTAGGATGAAAGTAAAATCTCCTTCAGATGATGGCATTTAATTCCTGGACAGGACATTTTACTGAAGAATCTCAACTCCATGAACAACATGAATAAAAAAGAAACCTTATGTAACTCTCCAATCATAAGAAGGAAACAAATTATCTAGTGGTCCAAGGACATTAGCTAAGGCCCCAAGCTCCTAAGTTCCAGGCGCTGCCTTCTCCTATAAACTATATACAATCTGGACGGCAGCTAAGAGTAATTGCAACCTCCCTGCATTTTGTATCCTGCGCTTCAGTTTACTTTTGCCTGAATTTTCTCATTCACGGGGATACCCCGTTTTGGACTGGGACCACCGTTTCGCAAGCGAGAAAACAGAGGTTTGGCCCATGGATAGCAGAGACAGAACTGGATACCAGTCCCTTCTGTTCCCAAGGCCGGCTACCTTCCACCTTCAGTTACCTCCCACCTCCCCTGGTCCTGAGCTCTGAATGGGGAGCCCAGGAGAAGGCATTGCCCTGTGATAGGAGAATGAATGCTCCTTTGCGTGGGAGGGGAGGCGGAGGGGGGGGGATGGGGAGGGTGCAGATACAGGAAGGTGTGTTGAACTGGGGGAGGGAAGTTCCCCCGGGTTGGGAGGAAGGCTAGTACTACTAGACCCCAGCAACTGGGGCCCCATATTTCAGAGGGACCAGCTCTAGCTGCACTCCAGATTTACCTCCCTCAACGGGACAAGAGAATGTGCCCACCCAGTGCCATGCCCCCTCTTCTAGAACGTGCTGTGGTGCCTGGGACCCCAGAATCCAGGCTCCGAGTGGGCCTCCTCCTGAGGTCCAACCTTGCCACTGGCCTGCTTTCCAGGAGTGTAGACAGAGTGTGGATGTGGGGTCTGAGCTGTCCCACCTTCTACAGTGAACATACAGAGGCACAAGGCTCTTCACTCTGTGGAATTGTCACAGGTGGGAAGAGGATGGGGGAGTTGGGCGGGCAGGGCAAAAGCCTTCATTTATAAAATTTTCCCTCAGGCCCCACAAAAGTTAGGCATGGCTTGGTGAGGGCCGTTGCCACTTGCTGGCTTCCACTTGTTCTGGGAGATTAGAGGTAAGTCCTCTGTTCATACTGGAGAGGCATGCAGGAGTTAGATAGAAGAATAGAAGAGTAAATGGAGTAAAATAGATCCCGGGGCATATGGAGGGCACCGTTGAAGGAGGGGACCGCACATGTTTAATGCGACTGTCTCAGGTGGGTCCCCCTAGTCAAAGATGTGGGTGCAAATAGGTCATCGTGGAATGGCCCCAGGAAGCACTAGCGTGGGATAGGGAAGCGAGACAGGAGGGAAGGCAGCTTCTGCAGGGCCTGTTACCCAGCAGGTTACCAGTGTGGGCACCTGGGGCTCAGCCCTGTTGGGGAGGCCAGGGAGTCAGTGCGGAACTCACCACAGGCTTGTCCCCACCAGGGGGCCTCCCAGCCATCCCACTCCAGAGCGTGTTGACACACCAGCTTCCATCAGCCATCGGTTGAGAGGCGGTTTCCTGGGGAGCGTTAACTCGCTAGTATTTCTGGCATGTCATGTGCTCAGGTTGGCTCAGGCCACTAGAGGAAATCTTCAGGCAGGTGAAAAGTGCATGGCTGGACATGATGGTGGTCAGGTCTGAGGGGCTGTGGGCAGGGAGCCCTCAGTGACTGTTCCAAGTAGATAGAGTTATTATTAACCCCATTTTGCAGATGAGGAAACAGAAAAACAGAAAGAGCAAAGTTTCCCACGGTTCTACAGATACAGAGTGAAAATAGCAGAACTGGCCTAGCAGAGAACATTGGCCTTAAGCAAGGGCCTGGAGGGACCAGAAGACACACCCTCACTAATTCACAGACAGTTCAAAGCAGGGATTTTTAATCTCTTCAGAGTCTTGCCGTCAGGCCCCAGGCACAGTTGTCGGGGACAGGAAGTTGTATGACATTGGAATATTGGCTCAGAAGGCCCAATCTGCTTAATTGAGTGGATTACATGTGAGAAAAAACGGATGCTCTGCACCAGCTGAACCATGAGCAGAATGACAGCCTTGGAAGAGAACATTCCACATGCAGCTTTTCTCAGGGTCTTGAGACGGCTTTCCTTTGGCAGTGTGTGGGGAGGGTGGCTGTGGGGATGAAGTTGAATGAATATGAGGGCTTTTTAACTGTCGTGTTTATTTTCATATCATGAGCCCTGTTTTGTTTTTGCGTGCACCTGACAGTTGGCTACGAGGAACCAGACCCACTATGGCCTATCTTGGGGGGCGGTGGGGGGGGGGGTTGGAGCGCTAGAATGTTCCTCAAGACCCTCATGAAAGGTCATGATATCTGGCAATTAAATCCACCTTTGGCTTACCTGACCTTGGTTGATCTGAATTCAAGAGCAGGACTATTAAAACTTAGTCGAGGGTGAAAATGTCCCCAGTCCCTTATTCATTGTTACCGGTCTGACCTGCTCTACCAGCTTGAAGAGTAAATATGATGGCATCGCTTTTATTTTTCACTCAGGCCCCCACCTGTTATTTTATCATTAAGTCCAATACCTTCCAATACCTTCCTGCTCAGGCCCCACCGTCCCCGCCTCCAATCACTAATAGTCCAGAAGCCCAGGAGTTTCTCAGTCCAATATGATCAATACCCCAATGCCGTTGCCTCTTGCAGCCATCTGTCACTGTTGAAGAGGGGCCTGTGGAGTCTCAGGGTTTCAGGGGCCAGGCTTTTCCTGCTGTGACTTGTTCAGGTCACATCGGTTCCCCATGTGGGGAAACTCCCCCATGCTTGGCCATGACTCTCCAAAGCACGACCCCTGGGCCAGCCCAAGTTGAAACCATTCCCTGCTAACCTTCGTCAAGCATGGATGACCAGCCGGGGTCTCTGGTACCACTTGGCCCACCCAGGGCTCCCCTTGAAGAGTGAGAGTTGGATAATTGGTTTCTTCCTTTCCAGGGGGCTCCTTATTCAAGTAGCTCCACCTCCCCTCCAGCCAGATCGGCACACCACTGAACTAAGAGTTTGCTTTCCAGAGACTTTTTGTCTGAACAAAGTCTGCCAGGCTGACACCTTATTTACTAAACAGTGACTCCGTTAGACCTGGTTTCCTTGGAACTCAGCAAAAGTGCAGGGACTATGAATACAGGCTGTTAGACCCAGGCTTGACCCCAAGTCTGTGATCTTGGGTAGTTACTTACCTCTGTGAACCTCAGTTTCCTCATCTATCAAGTGGGGATGATGATAACATCTGCTTTATAAATGTAATAATACTAAAGCACTTTGTGCAATGCCTGGCATATTAAAGTAGTAAATGTTTATTACTACTATTCTTATTATTATAGTAATAGTGATGATCATGATGATGATGATGATAAACAAATCTAAGAAAGCTGATCTTATTACCTTTGCTTTTGTCAGAAGCTCATAGTGCTCTTAAGTTTTGGACCATGGGGTTCAGATGGAAGACTGTTTACTTTTGGTTAACCCTCTGAGTGTGTCTTCAGTTCCGTATTCAAGCCATGTGTGTTTGTTTTCTTCTCACACTGTGTTAGAGGGTGACTTACTGCTTCTCATTCTAAAATCACCCACCTAGCTGAACTGAATGAAATTCACTCTTTCCTCTCCGTCCCTCCATGAACCCCAATGAGTTCCACTGATCTAGGCAAACGAGCTCTGAAAACCGGTTAAAAATCTATTTGTCCACTTTTGAAAATGTCAGTGAATGGTGGTGAAGGTAGCGTTGGGCCTCAAGGCTGGCTCCTGTCAGCACATTGTCAGGTGCCGGGAGGGCTGCCACCTCTCCAGGCTCACAGAGCAGAGTCTCTGGCTGCCTCTCACCCTGGTGAAAACTGGACTCCAGCTGGAGACACAAATGAGAATGGACAGTCTTCCTTCTTTCTGGCCTTGACCCAGCAGCCCAGGGCTTCACACACAGGGGAAATGCATGCTTTGTGAAGGAACGGAATAAAGATTGGGGGAAAGGCAGGTACCCTCTAGAGTTGTTGTCTCCTTATCCCCGCTCTTCCTATTTTATGAGCATCACCAGGCACAGAGGGAACCATGGACACGTGTTGATCATGTCAGTAGCTGGAGGGAGGAAAAAAAGCCAGTGGATAATGTGGTGGCTCAGACTTCTTGATGCCTGGGTTCCTTCTTGCCTTCAGTTTCGACCTGTACTTTAATCTCACATGAGCCTCTGCCTGGAGTGGGTTGGGAACAAAACCTCCCTTATTCGCCAGGGGAGGTGTCGTGTCAGGATCCCAACCAACATTTATCAGAGTGAAAGGCTGGGATTAAGAGGCCGTCCAAGTTCAAATACCAATGAACACAGGATGTTCTATCTCCTATCATGGAGAAGCTGTGATTCAGGAGCTGCAGCAGCATGTTTATATTTGGTTCCGTATCAAATGAAGCAAGACCTTGTGATTGTAAAAAGTTGGAACCTCTTAAATGTCTAGAATCAGGGATTTGATGAAATAAATTATTGTACATCTCACAGTGGATGCGATGAATGTGTTGAAAATGGTGCTATCAGTCGGTTTTTACTGGTAGGGCAAGATGTTTATGACATAATTTTAAGTATGAAAAAAGCATCGGAAAAGCTACGTATGCAATGTGGTCCTGTGTTGAATTAAAAACATATGTCTAGGGCCGGCCGAGTGGCTCAGTTGGTTAAGAGCTTGCTCAAGAGTGTGAACTCTGAGCAACAGCAATTCGAGTCCCGGCCCGAGCTGAGCAGCCGCTGAGCTGCCAACAGGTAGCAGGATGGCTCAGCTAAAAACAAAACAAAACAAAACAAAAAAAACCAAAAAACATATGTCTAAATATGTATGTATATATGCAGCTGTATGCACTGAAGACGGTTAGAAAAGATACATAACAGGTGTGAAAACAATAGATTTGAGGGGATATTATTTACTTTTACTTTCCTTTTTTTCTTGCTTTGTGACCTGGTTTATTTTGCTTTACTGATTTTTCTGCATATGATAATAGCCTGTATTTAGTGAGCAGCCACTACGCATAAGGCATATGCTCTTCTCTTTGCTTCTGAAAGGAAGTTGTCCCCAGAGAGGTTAGGCCTCTTACCCAGGGTCATGAAAGCAAGAATCCATCATCCAAGTCCACCTGCTTCCAGACCCCTACTTTATCTTCCTCCCTGGGACAATCTAGGCTGACCCACGTTGCCACACAGAAACCTCTGCTGCCCTGGACTGCCTCGAGGCCCAGCCGGATGCTGGCCTGGGTCAGCATTACACATTCTGATTCCCACTGGCTCCTAACATATGCTCTCCCTGGTCAGGCTTGGTCCAGGGCCTGGGCTGGGCCACACCTTCAGGTGAGGCTCTCTGGTGCCTGCCTCGATCTGGGAAAGATGGCCTGGGACTCCCAGGCTCCTGTCCTGTGCACAGCCAGTCCCATCCCTGCCCTGGCAACACCCTTTTGTCCATTTGTTACCAAAGCAGGACAACATGTCAACATTGGTTTGTCTTTGGGTTTTCCCCTCCTTAATTATGAATGCTTTAATTCTGAGGGCTGATGCAGACACTAATGTTTCTCTGCTGTGTGAGCACGTCTTACCTGTAGCTTTGTTTGGGTTATTTATTCCAAGGCTGATAGGCCTTGGAGTTTGGAGAATAGAGGGCAGCAGGTGACTATTCATTTCCTTTCTGAGACCCAGGTGGCTTCTGTCCCCCCACCCCCAACCCCCACCTCAGTGGTCTGGATGAGGGGGACCTGTCTTTCTTTGTATGCAAGATCTTTGGAATACTAATTTCACCCATGGCTGCATATTAGAATCTCCAAGGGAGCTTTGAAAACTGTTGATGCCTGGGTCCACTCCCAGAGATCCTGATTGAATGGGTCCGGGGTACAGCTTTGGCATTGGGAGTTTCAAAAGTTCCCCATTCTAATTTGTGGCCAAGGCTGAGAACTATGCCCTAGAACACCTGACCCACCTCGCCTGACCCCATCCCCCACAGTCCAAGGAGACAACATTGGTTTGGAGAAAATAGTTTTTTCTTCTTGGTCAGCCCCTACCTAAGCAAAGCGGTGTGCATTAAGCTCTTGGGAGTACAGGAATACCTTGGTTTGCGAGCATAATTCATTCTGGAAACAAACTACTTGTATTGCGAGACATCACTCGTTTACCACGTTAAAATGTATTAGAAATGTTTGCTCGTCTTGCGGAACACGTTACTCGCAATCCAAGGCTTTACTGTATTTGGTGTTCTCAGTCGCCACTGGGGAAAGGGGTCCTCAGAGAGGCCCAGCCCATTTCTGACGCTCCCTTTTTCCCTTTTATTCAGTATGGAATCGTGCTCGACGCCGGATCTTCCAGGACCACAGTCTACGTGTATCAGTGGCCAGCGGAGAAGGAGAATAACACTGGAGTGGTCAGTCAAACCTGCAAATGTAATGTGAAAGGTAAGGCCCAGAGTGAGTCTGGGAGGCCCAAAGGGAAGTAAGGTAGTGCCCTAATGTTCCTTGGGGGCCTTGAGGGGTCCTGAGAAGCTGCCTGGACTGGATGTCAGAAAACTATGAGATCTTATGCTAGTGCTACTATTTATCAGTACACTTTGGGCCAGTCACTTCCCTTCTCTGCAGAACATGGTGGGGGTGAGGGGGTGTGGAGGGGATGTGTCAAGAACTGTGTATAATCTGAGAGTTGACCCTGCCCCTCTCTCCTGGATGCCTGGTGGAAGACACAAGACTATCGGGTCCGAAACGAAGGGTCGTTTATTACGCAAGAACAGGAGCCAGAGTATTAGCGTTTTCTTCTGCTGCTTCTCTGAGCCCCAGTTTGCACGGGATGTTGTAAAAAGGGCCAGGTAGTACCTGCTCACACAGTGGGTTGTATTACAGAAGAGAAACCAGAGATTAGAGAATCTGAAACATTTATAAAGGGCACCGAGCTTGCCTGCCTTTTGCTCCGGGGTGAAACCTGTCTCTGCCTTCTGAGCCTGTTCGCTGTGCTAACATCCTTGAGAAAATAATCCAGAACAAAGGCAGTCAGCACCTCTGCTCATGAAACATGCGGAAACATGAGAGACTCATGGAAAATTATCTTCCAACCGGTGTATGTGGGCGGGGGAGAGATGGGGTGGAGGGAGATGGGTGATACATAAACAAATAGGCATGGCTCTGTAGTAAAGCTTTAGTTATAGACCCTGAAATTTTGAATTTTATATAATTCTCACAAGTCACAAGATACTATTCTTTTAATTCCTCTTCCCACCATTTTAAAACGTAAAAGCTACCTCAGCTCACAGGCTGCACAAGAAAAGGGAGCAACCTGGATTTGACCCATGAGCTGCCAACCCCTGAAATAGAACGTTATCAGCACTTTTAACCACCCTCCAGGCAACTCCCTGTCTCCCCCACAATATATCCTGAGTTTTATATTAACTGTTTCCTTGTTTTTCTTTATAGTTTTTTTTTGTGTGTGGGTAGTTTCTCCTCTTTTTGAAAACGGAATCAAATACATAGTTATATAAATGGAATCAAACATTCATCTTCTGCAATTTGCTTTCTTCTCTACCATTGGGTTTTAAGATTCATCTATGTTGATATGAGTAGGAGTTGCTCATTCATTTTTCCTGTTGATGGGCGTTTGTATTTCCCTGGTAATTAATAAGGTTGAGTATCTTTTCATATACAGAGGGTGCCAAAAAAATGTAGGCACGTTTGAAGAAAGGATAAAACTCTAATTGAATTAAATTGTAATAGTCAATATATACTGATAGCAAAAGATGAATACAAGTCATGTTTGACTTCTGCCATTGCAAAAGGTGCTCAAAGTGGTTACCACCAGCATCCAGACTCTTCGGATTACGGCGAACTACTGCTTGAGCATAGATAACATCTCTTAAAATGTGTATACATTTTTTTTTGGCACCCCCGGTATTTATGACCATTTCTGTTTTCTGTGAAGTATCTGTTCATATCTTTTGCTCATTTTTCTACTGAGTTGCTTGACTTTTTCTTACTCATTGCAATCCTTTACATAGACTCTAAATATGAATGCCTTTCTGGTGTTAATACTATATTGTTGCTACTGTCCTCTCACAGTTTATGGTTTGTCTTTTTAGTGTCTTCATGATATCTTTTGATGAATAGAAATTCTTAATTTTTATGTAGGTGCAATTGCCAGTCTTCTTCTTTGTGGTTTGCTCTTTTGTATATTTTATTTAAGAAATTCTTCGCTACCCTGTGCTCATAAAGATTTTCTTCTATCAAAAGTTTTATAATTTTGCCTTTTACAATGAAGCTTTAGTCTCTGTAATCAAGCCCAGTTAGCGAGTGTGTGTCTGCGTTAGCCTTTTTTTAAGTCAGTCTCTTTATATAGTCAACAGTAGTGTAACTTTGTATGGTGACAGATGGTTATAGACTTAGTGTGGTGATCATATCTTAAGATCTAGAAATGTTGAATCGCTATGTTATATACCTGAGACTAATATAGTATTATATGCCAACTACTTTAATAAAAATAATAGCAACAACAAAAGCCAGTCTCTTCAGAACATTATGACCTTTGAGTTGGCCTGGAGCTTCCCAACCAGTGTGTCCTGAATGGGTTACAGGTGTGCCCACAGGACAACAGGTTAGAGGCCCTGGACTAGTCCTCCCGGCCTCAAGCAGCTCCTTCATTTCTCTCAATGAGCTGCCCAAATATTCTAAGTTCTGGGAGGTCATGGTGTTGAAAAAGTTGAGAAGCAGAGTTAGCTTTTCCCAGGAGTCTTCTGTGGACAGCCAGGGTGAGTTCTGGTCACCTGCTCCCCATGGAGGGCGAGCTAGAGCTCGCCTACCCTGGTGCACAGGTATCACAGATTAGGTTTTCTAGAAGATGTTGAGACAGTTTGGGATGCAAGGGAGTTCCTAGAGATCCACAACTGTGGGTGGAGAGAGGAAGGGGAAGGATTGGACAGAAGGAGATGTTAAACTGCAACACAGGCCTGACAAAGCTTCAGCCAATCAGAGTTATGCTTTATTGGGTTGAGATGGCCTGAAATGGCTGGGCTGTGATACCTCTGTCACCTTCAGTCGTTGGATGTTGTCATCCTGGGAAGAACAAGGCATTGAGCAAGGCAGCTCTCTGTAGCTGCGGCAAACCCTAAAGTTGCTGACAGCTGGGCATCTGCGTGGCCCTTCTCTGGGCTCATCACAACGGGAGACTTGGAACTTTCTGAGCGCCACTTGCACTGTTGTCCACAAGACACAGGCAGCAGCAGCCTTGCTGTGACCTCAGCTAGAGACCCCATCTCTGCTCTCCTAACTTCCGAGTCATTTCCTCACCTCCAAGCGTGAAAAAGGGCAGCAGGATTCTTGTGTAGAAAAGAGAGACCACCCATCTCAAGAAAAGAGAGGATAGTGTAGCATAGTGATTCGCCTTACCCCTGTGAGAGTCCTGGGTGTCATCTCACCTCTCTGCGTCTTGACCCCCTCATCCCTAAAATATAAAGCATTATAATCGTTATACCTCCCCCATGCGAATGATTTGAAGATTAGATGAAATGACATAATATATGTAAAGCAGGTAGCAAATGCCTGGCATACAGTAAGTGCTCAATAAGTGTTCGCTGTTATTATTCATAAGGCACCACACTTTAGAGCTCCTGGTGGATATTCTTGCCAAAAGGTTACTCTGTCCCATAGTTATCAGCTTTATTTAGACTCGGAAAGCAATTCAGCCAAGTCAGTCTTGATGGCCCTCTAACCGTAGGGACAGATGGGACTTTCATGAGGAAGACAGGCAGCCTCCCAGGGGCAGGGGCCCTTGGCCCACCCAGCATGTGATTTAGGGGAGGGGCAGGGTCATGGAGCCCACACCGCATCCATAAATGGATCTCCCCTTCTTTGATCACAGTGGCCTCGGGGATCCATGTATACTCAGAATGACCAAAAGACCACAAACTAAGGCTTAATTACAGAGCTGAAGTTTGGTAAGTGTCATCCCTTCGAAGACATGTTGCTTGTACAGGGATAATTTAGGGGTTTCTGGTTTCTCAGTTACAAATTTCCCCAGGACTCCCCTGCCTTAGCCAGCCTGAGGTGGTGGTGAATGCTTGCTTGCCCAGTAGTGTTCCTGAACGGCTAGGCCCTCAGAAATGTATTTCTCAGGGGTTCCCTGGTGAGTATCGGTCCTTGGTTGCTGTACTTTTCCGTGAGTTGACTGGATGCTGTCTTTGCTGCTGGTCCCCGGGCTGGTGTCTGTAGCTCCGGCCATTCCCTGGAGAGGACTGGTTCCTGTTGTCACTCCTGTCTTTTGCAGTGTGCCATGCTCATGCCTGCTGCTGCCTTCTCCCATAAGGGACCTTATGGGAAACCAGTTCTTAAAAATTCTTTGAACTCCCCTGGAGACTAAGCTTAGCCATCTATCTCCTCCACTAAAATACCTTTAAGAGTTGCTCCAGGGACCAGCCACTACAATGTTGAAAGCATCCTTGGTTCAGGCACGTATCATGCTTCCGTCCCACCTTGAGTAAGTTTTGTGCCATCTGCCCAACCCTCCATCCCCCGATTGCAATAGCAGTTTTAACTCTCTGTTCTTGGGGTTGGGAATCCCAATATCCCACGAGCCTATAAACCCAATCTTCTTTTTCCTCTAGGAGGCTTAAGGGACCTTATGCAAATTGGGCCCCCAGGTGACATGCTCAGATAATTCCAATGTCGACATTCTAGCAAGGCTCCTAACCGGTCCCTATCCAGAGACCAGCTCTAGCAGAATATAGTTTGTTTGCACCAGATCGGACATGTTTGATTGTCAGGACTGGGGTTGGTGGTACTGCTGGCATCTAGTGGTAGAGGACAGGGATGCAGCTAAATGTTGCACAACGCACAAGACAGCCTCCACAACAAGGAATTGTCCTCTGGACCAAAATGTCAGTACTAGTCTCAAGGTTGAGAAACTCTGATTTAGAATGGTTCTGGGGAAAACAGTGGGAAGTGCTCAGATCTGAGAGGTGTTTTGAAAGGAGAGCCAACAAGATGTTATGATAGAGTCACTGTGAGGCATCTAGGTTGATGGTGCCTGAGCATCACTTCTGACCTGGGTAACTGTGTGCGTGACGTGACGGTACCATTTCCTGAGCGTGGGAGTACTGGGAGTAGAGGACTGGGGGGCATGGCAGGGGATTAAGGAATTTGGTTTTAGACATATTAAGTTAGAGATGCCTATAAGTCAGGGGCTGGCAAATTTTTTTCTGTAAAGAGTTAGATGATAAGTATTTTTTACTTGTTGGCCATATGGTCTCTGTCGTAAGTATTTACCTCTGCTACTTTAGCATGAAAGCAGCCATAGACAATATGCAGGCAAATTAGCATGTATGTATTTCAAGAAAGCTTTATTTCTGGACACTGTATATG